TACAATTTATAATAATAATAAAAATACAATAAATAAATAAATATTATTAATAACCAGGTTGGTCTCTTAAGACTTTCCAGAAAGCTCCAGCGCTTAATTTGCAACTTGTATCCAAATAATTGAAAATAACAATTGTACACAATAACAATATAGACTATAATAGATCAGTCGCATACAATGTAAAGTATTGTAATAGGACCCCGGAGACTACATAGATAGGTTATCCCAAAACTTACCCAAAATCTAATTGGCTAATCGAGAAAATCTGCACTAATATGGCCAAATTACGGCCATTTTTGGTAATGATATTCGCGCGCTCAATATTAAGTTAGGGTAACCTATCTATGTATGCCCCATATATTTTATTTTGTTTGGAAATCAGCCCCTATTTTTCTTATAAATATGGAAACGATATACAAATACCGAATTTTTGGGTCAAAATCTCTTTTTTGATTATCTATTTTCCGCGTCCCATATATATATATGATCTACAGCGCCAGCTCATTTATAGCCTAGTATTTTAAAATTTGTTATATATATATACACACACATCACAATCATCTTCGTAATACTTAAAAATTTCCTTTTTTAAAGAAAAAAAAGATGTCTTACATTAGTAAAATACACCAAGTTCCTTTATTAGTACAACCCGCTTTAACTTGTCAAAATAATATTGTAAAATATATTGTAACAATTCTTTTGATTTTGGTGATATGGCTTGTCATGAAATACGTACTTTTGATTATGACAACATTTCAAGAATCTGAATCGGAAGAATTATTAGATGACAGGTAATCAAGTTTCTAAAAATGTTGATCGATACATGCATTCATATATATGATATATTTCCATTCATTAATATTCGATATTTTTTGTTTCAGCAATGGTCCTGATGGTATAGAAAACTTTAATCAATTTGATCAAATGGAAGAAATTACTTCTAGCCTCTCCACTGATTACGCTTATAACCACCAATACATTAATCGTGCCAATCATTTTAATTATGTCGATAATAATGAAATTGTGGAATTATTTGGTACAGAATCTGATGTGGATACAAGTGTATCTGATACTGAAAATTTTTATGATACGGGCATGGAATCTGATAATGACACAATAATGTCTGATACTGAATATGAAGATTTTTATGATACGGACACGGAATCTGATAACGATACAGTAATGTCCGATATTGAGGACTTTGATGATTTAAATTATGGCGCAGAAGCATCTGACCATACGATAATAACTGATTGTGATGATGTCAATGATGCAAAGTCATATAATTATTCATGTTCTTCCTCTTCCTCCTCCTCCTCCTCCTCCTCCTCATACTCATCATCATCACCCTCATCGTCAGGAAACAATAAAACAAGAGTGACATATTTGCATGCACTATATAATGGTTATAAGGTAAAACCTGATAGACCATTTAGAAGACGACGACATTGTTCAAGAAATAACAAACAAGCATCATCACTTGATCAACAACAGCCTGTATTTTTACCGATTTCTCGTATTTTTGACATTTTCCAAAGGAACAGAGTAAAGTCACCGGATGATGGTGTTCCTTGTAGATACATAATGAATCAAAACGGAGTGCCGTTTAAATTGAAATTAACAGACAAAGATGCAGAAATGGCTAGATGTGCAGGTATTTATTTTCATACATACACGCACGCACACACGCGTGTAATATCAAAGATAAAATAAATTTTCATATATTCATGCATGCATGTATACGTTTTTTTTTAAAAAAAACATAGCATTGGATAATTATGAACGGTATCGTCCGAGAATCGGATCGCCGTTGTCAACAGAGAGAACTATCGAATTTAATGCTGGTAATGAAGTAAATGTTACTTCTTTGAGGTTCCTACAGTCACCTGGTCCAAACACCAACAAAAAAGGCGCAGAGGTTGGTTGATTATTATTATTATAATATTATTTATTATTTATTATTTATTATTTATTAATATTTGAAATCTTTATATCCCTAATACAAAATTTAAAAAATTAGCCTCAAACTAGCATAATCAAGGCTGTTAATAATCGTAATAATCGATGTAAAAATAAACAAAAATATAAAATGGTTTCCTAAATTATTAATACAACGATTCATGGTTATTATATAAACAACTCACAAAACTAAATGGAGATATTAGTGGCAGTTGTGAAAATAATAAATGGAAAATAAGTCAATTTGGTGGTAAGTATACTTTGTAAGAATTCTGCTCTCTTACATTTCTTATTTATTATTTAAAACTAATATTGAATTTTTATGAAATAGGGTGTTATTCGTTGGAAAGAACCAACAACATTAGTTGGTTCTTTTCAAAAATTAAAAATAATATAATTAAATTTTTTTTCTACTAGCTGAAAAGATTTATTTTTAATATAATATTATAAAAAAGATAACAAAATAAAATTTATTTGCAAAGTTTCTACATCAATCAGCACAACATTTCTCACGTACATAAAAGTGTGGCCTGATTAATTTTATTAAGACATTAAGATTTTACAACTATAAAAATTGTCCCAACTAAAAAATTAAATCAATCTAAATATATCCAAACTAAAATTACCTCCATTCTCGTCTCCCCCCCCCCCCCCCCTCCCGATTAATCTGAAGTTAACAACCAAAGTGGAGTAATTAGCTTCTTATTTTTAAAATCAAAGCGCAGTTATTGGATTGAAAGCCTTTATTCTACAGGTTATGTGTTTAATCAACGCGAAATAGATGCTAGGTGTACAGAGATATCACATTGTGAAAGAAATAAGTCATGTGCAATTAAATTAATGATTTAATTTTACACGGGCTTTTCTTTGATCAAAAAAATACAATGAAGATTCTCTATAAAAACTTTCTCAATCCAACCCTTTTTGATATTTTTGATGTGAGCAACGTTCCCTTGATGAAACGAACGTAATAATGATGAACTACAGAAGAATTTGAATGTAAGTTTTAGCAAATCGAAAGCGAAGATTTCCGATAGATAAATATATTTGTCAGTATCATCATTTCTCTATCTTGCTATATTTCAAATATTATAAAACTAGAATATATACTTCTAATTGGGTGAGAATGTATAATATGTCACTAAAAGTGATAACGTATGTCATAACTAGCAATCCTTTTTTTCTAAATTTTGCAAAATATCACGTTTCTAGTATACCACCACATGTGGACATGTGAGTCGCGTGAAAACTTATCTGATATATTATTTATTTTATTCAGGCAGTAAACATCATCAATCTTTATATTTTGATAATATTAAAGATAGACCTTAATCTAAACCCCTCACTTATCATTACATGGTCGTTTTCAAACTATCACTATTTATTATTCACGTTTAATAATACTAGTATTCGATTTCAAGGTAAAAGATACAGTATTATCACTATTACTAATAATAGGATTGGTTTAATCAAATTTTTATGCTGTGAATACTGCGAGATAGTAACGGGCGGAAGCTATGTCCCCTTTCTCTTCAAGTTCTAAAGGTTGTTCTTCCGGTCCTACAAAGCAACTAAGGTAAGAGTTGAGAAAAAGATGTAGAGTAAAATTATAAATGAATTTAGAACTATTAAATGCGAAATGTGGTGATTTTGTAATCCTCAATGGTTTTAGACGCTCCGGATATGTAAAAACCCAATTATGCAAAATTCTTTTTGTCATACAACGTAAAGACATATATGCCAAACCCTCTGGAACCGTGATGTTAATCAGGAACATTTTTTTGTATATAAATGAGAACGAGGGAGAAAGATTCAATTGACTCAATGCAGAAGCGACAACGAGATTTTCTTTTCGTCGCAGTCAGCTATACGATTAGACCTTCAACATAGTGTGTTACAGTTTAATTGTCCTCTCCGATTTAGCATAACTGGTTTACTATGATATGGTTCAGGTTCAAGTATTTTATGATAAACTAAAGCATCTTCTGTTGTATTTGTCACCACAAATCATTAGAACTATTGTTAACTTTCTATTGATATTTTTAATTATTGGCATATCTATGCTGATAGTGATATAATCTTCATTAGTATTTTTTTCCAGATAAAACTAACTTTAGTTTCTAATTCTTTTTACTATTAGGGGTTTACTGTGATCATGTCAAGCAGTAACATTAATTACAAATGTAATAAATAACTTCCATAACCCAACAAAATACAACATATTGTATAATTATTGTTGTCCTTCACTTGATCCATTTTCTTGAAAATCAAATCAAATACGATTGGATGGCACAAAAATATTGCTTTCATTGTCATTTTATTTGATTTTATATAAAGTGAAATTTAATTCCACCATTAGTTTTTATTTAATTTTCTCATTAGAAAAAAAAAGATATAATAAAGGATGATGTATAATATTAAGCAAAATATCAAATTCTATTGTTTTACATGCATTAAAAAAAATAAATAAAAGTTGAAAATTTTTAAATTTTCAATTATGTATGTACAATCATATATATGCTATTACTACACCTATAATACTATTGATTTTTTGAATCATCCTCTTTCTGTAACAACTCTTACAAATTCAACATTTTTAGTTGCTTTTTTTATGCCTTCTCTAGTTATTTGATTACGTCTTAAAAATATTGTTTTAGTGAAAATTGTAGTTCCAACTTTATTTTCAGTAAAAGCAATAAGAGCAGCTCTATTCATTGCTTTAATCAAAGTTTCAGCTCCAGAATCTCCAATAATATTACCCTCCAAATCCAATGTATGCAAGCTAGAATTAATTTTCAATGCATCTGATAAAACCTCTACTCCTTTATTATCAATGTTATTCTCTGCAAGAATTAATTTTTCCAAGTATTTATTTTTCGTCAAAGATACTGAAAGAATTTCTATACCTTTGCTTCCGATTCTAATATGCTCAAGATTAAGTGTGATTATAGATTTGTTTAGTTCAAGAGCTTTTCCTAAAATTTCAACACCTTTGTGGCCAATCTCATTATTACTAATATCAAGTGTATGTATACTACATGAAGGCCGTTCAATCAATTTGCTTAAAAATTCAAGGCCTCTGGAATGAATATTATTCCACGATAAATCAAGGCTTTCCAAAGTCATATTAATTTCTAAAGCACGACAAAATGATTCCATACCCTTATCACCAAAATTATTTCCGGCTAACTCAATACATCGTATAGTTTTATTTGTTTCTAAAGATTTGGATAAATAGCTGACTCCTTGATCACAAAGGTTATTATCAGGAATTATTAATGTATGAATAGTGGTATTATTTTTTAAAGCTTTTGTAAGTAAAACTGAACCAACTTTTTCAATTTCACTTCCTTTTAAATTAATGGTTTCAATGGTTTCATTTGATTGTAATACTTCGGTCAAATATTGCCACTGTGATCCTGGTTGAAATTCTAGCAAATGTAAGGACCTAATTGCTGGATTAAATTTTAGTATGCTTCTTAATTGTTCTGGTGTTTTTATATCTTCAGAACGAAGCTTTAGTGTGGAAAGTCTATCAAGTTCTTCTTTATGGGCTCTTTGAATAATTTCCATTTTCCTTTCCAATGCCGTCATATGATTATTAATTCCATGAAATGCATCTTTCAATGGTTCATAAACACAATTATTAAGATGATCCTCAAGTTGACATCTTTCAAACTCTGCATTACATCCACCATAACTTCCAAGAATATTTTTATGTATACATGGTATACGTTTCTTTAGACAATTGAAATCATGTTCTTTTAATCCATGGAATAACATTATTTCATTACATTGAGGACAAGTAATTTGGCGGTTAACACATTCTTTTTCACTATGTTGCTAATTAAAAAAGAAAAAATAGTATTATTTTTAATTAATTATAATTAATCTGAATTGTATTCGGTATTTAAGTTTAGAATAAGTTTCATTACAAAGTACATTATTAAATTTACTTTTTTAACCTAAAAATGAATTTAAAACCTAATGATTTGAACTTGTAAAGACAACAACAATAATTGTTATAAACTTTACCTCCAAAGTTTCCATGTCATAAAATTTTTTATTACACCACAAAGGACATCTTATCATTTTATAAGAACATTTTTTTCTATGATCTTCAATATTTTTTCTTTGTAAAACTTCTTTACAGTCAGGATGATCTTCATGTTCATCACAACGCACAGGAACAAATTGACAATCTGTCTTCGAAATCAAATAAAAGTTAATAAAAAAATTTTCATTAATTATTAAATAAATTTATGAACTTTAATTATTATATAATTATATCTATTTACTTTTAAATGTATTTTTAACGCTCCCCTAGTTCCCTTCCAATCACATTCAGGATATCTACAATAAACCATTAGTTGATCTAAATCATTTTGAACTTTTATTGAGATTTGTAACTCATTTTCTTGACAAGGTGTTCTACAAATAGGGCAAGATTTATTCAAAGATAAGGCTTGAGCAATACAAAAATGACAAAATAAATGTTTACAACGACGTGTTCTTTTGACATTAACAAAAACGTCATGGCAAATTGAACAGTATAAATCTTCATTTATGGAATCTGGCTCAATATAACGGTATTCTTCTTTTGTTAATGTTGCAATAGAGGGTCTCTTTGATCTATAGGAATGTTCTGTCATTTTTTTTAATATAATTTTTAATAAATTTTTTATTTTGGTAAATGGTAATACTTTTTGTAATTATTGTCATGGTATTACAAAAAAAATTAAAAAAATTAAAAATCGAATCGAAACTTTCGAAAAGAACTTGTGTTATTATTATTATTATGTAATAATTATATCTATAAAAAAAATCGGTTTTTGAAAGGAGACTTATCTATTAGAGGCGTCTTTTCAGTACTTGAAGTTCTAATACAGCCGTATTTTTCCATGATGTGAGCCTCATAGGTCGAATCACTACCAATTGTGTGATATCAAGAATACTTTCACTTGTATTATATAAGAGTATTTGCTGGAAAGTAATCCTCTTCCCAAGTTGAAGTAGACAAAGGACAATTAATAGATGGTGATGTAACCATGCATGCCATGGTCCAAAGTTTGTACTACTATTTGATGTTTCTAATTAAAATCACAGTTCCAGAGGGCTTGGCATATGTCTTTACGTTGTGTGACAAATTTAAATAAAAAAGAACTTTGCACAAATATAACATTTAATCGAATTTTTACATACCCAGAGCGCCTAAAACCATTGGGATTGCAAAACTACCACATTTCTTTATTAGTTCTAAATTCATTTACAGTTTTACTCTACATCCTTTTCTCAACTCTCACTTTAGTTGCTTTATAGGACAGGAAGGACAACCTTTAGAAGGGGAGGCCCGTTACAATCTCACAGCACTCACAGCATAAAAATTTGATTAAACCAATCATATTACTATTATTAATATTACTATTTACTAAATATTTTTCGAGTTGTCGATCATTTTTAATCAATTTGGAATAAAAAAAATATATTTAATATTAAAAACTCTACAATCTGAAGTTGTACATTATAATTTATATAGAAAAATAGGCGATTATTCAAACTATTCAAATGGAATAAAATTTTCGTTTTACATAGAGATATTGTCTATAGAGACAAATTAGTTAAGGTGGGCACATTTATTTAAAAAACATAACCTGAAATTGGAAAAGAAGGATATAGCAGCCTTTCCATCTCAGTGTATTATAGGGTCAAATCAATTTCATTGTGAGTCTCTTGCCTGAATCAATCCTCATTCAAATCTTCTCTTTCTTAAATAAAAATCATCAGCTTTCGAAGCAAGGCAATTATGGAATCTCAACTAGAATAAAAATTTGGAATGATTATTTCAAAATGTCTACAATTTCAATGCTGATATTATTTGGGGGTCCTCCCAACGATCACAGGTTCTAACAATACCTAACGAGAAAGTGAACAATGGGAAAGGGAACAAATACAAATAGCAGTATCTGATCAAATTTTTTAAAAAATAAAAAGATTTGATTTAAAAAATTACATTGACTCAACACAAAGCATGTCAACTGAGCCAAAAATTCATCATTTTCATATAATAAATTAAACCAAAATGAACATCGATTTATAGAAAATAGCATTTGAAGTCTTGAAGATGGTTCAGCTCTTTGGAGACTGGAAGGTAAACTAACTTCCCTCATTATTCTTCAACATTCGGAAAAATATCTGCACCTAATCAGAAGCTTAAAAATATTGAATATTGATGATGGTCAATGCAAATATATCTTGTTACATTATGGCATGATATAATTATTCCAACACAAAAGCAGTATATATTATTAGGATTCAATGAGTATTTTTGTACTATAATACATTATTTTTGATATGTTTAACTTTGACCTATAAAGAAAAGGACAAAAATTTATTTAGGTATAATTAGTATAAATTTACATGGAGGTACAAAAGCAGTATAAATCATACATTTCAATATTTGCTGATGTTAAAAGTAGAAATTTAACAAAACTATTAAAACTATAGAAGGTGCCAAAGAATTATTGATAAAGGGAATACAGTATGAACATTTGAATATTTGCAAATGCACAGAATAAAAGGTACAACTTACCAATAATATCAAAGAGGTTTATTATAATCTATAAAATATCCTTCATATTGATATCCTGGAGACAATTTTCATGGCCTCACCACTATTATATATATGATGTATATGTTAAATCCATTAATATATATATATATGAAAACAAAATAAGTTATTATAATTATTACCTGGTATATGGTTTGAACTTTCTACAAATAATTCTTTTTTTATTTCATCTACAAAAACCTTTCCTTCTTTCAACAATTGTTCAGTAATCTCATTATCATGATATCGTATAAATCCAAATGTTAAAAAACTTCTTGACTCTACATCCTTTATTTTTCATAAATTAATATGTTTATATTTTAAATTCAAAAAAATAAAAATAAACAAGAAAGGATGTTGTGAAAATTAATACAAACTCTTGCATATTTAAATTCAATTAATTTTCCTCGTTTCTTAAAAAATTCATAAATAGTTTGTGCTTCTTGAAAACTAGCCGGTTTGTCATTGCCACGAAAATAGATCCTTGCCTTTTGCATCAAATTATTTCGTAAAGACATTTTTCTTTTCTGATTGAAATCTAAAATTAAATGCTTAATTGTCACATTGTCACATGCACACCAGCATAATAATAATAATAATAGATAAAAATCCGATCATTGGCTATTATTATGTCACAAAAATCAAGTGAAATTAACCAATGAAAATTATGCACGCAACATTTCAATTTCGTTTATTTTTTAGTACAGTGAACCCTCTATAAGTGCACCCCCCTCGGGAACATAGTGCTATTTCTTGTGAGCGTGCATTTATGGAGGGTGTGCATTTATGGAGGGTGATTTTATAAGCTCTCTATAAGCTTGGGGATGAGGTGGGCCATGCATTTATGGAGGGTATACATAGTGTGTGCATTTAGGGAGGGTGCACTTAGGGAGGGTTCACTGTATTCTAAAAATTTCCTTTCTTTCGTCAGGACCAATTATATCGACAAGAGGATTGATTTCACAACTTATTTTCATCAAAATCCAATTATGTTGATATACTTAACAATCACATAGTATAGAGTTTATATAATATACATCTTGATTATACTATACAAGGACCAAAATCTTTTCGGCTTACACCTTTGTTCATTTTATTAAAGATAAATGATAGTTAGAAGCGTTATTTATTTATTATTGCTTGAATTATCTATGTATATATTAGTTTTAATTTTTATGTTACGTGATCCTCTCTGATGGTTAGTGGTTTGGCAAACCTTTAATCATTAGATAGGAATCCCCATTTGATTGTTCTATGTTGCTTGTATGGATGCCTCAAGTGGTATAGTTGTAAATATTTCTTGTATATATTTTATTTCACTATCTTAGGCTTGTGCCAGCAGTACTTAGCATTAGTGAGAATTGCGCAAAAGATTTATTTTAGGACGGCTCCCAAACTGTGTGCAAGATGGAGACAGTATGAGAGATACTGATTGAGATATTGGGAACTCCTGAGCTGTGTGTGCAAGACGGAGTTTGAGAACCCTTAGCTGTGTGGAAACTTGAATATTATTGGACTTTTATATTTATTTATCTTATATATTTATCAGACACCTCTCAAGCTGTATTAGAAACCACTCACTTGCATTAGAAATCATATGATAAGCAATGGTCTTCTGCCAAGAATGCCTCAATGGAAAACTAAGATGGTGATTGATAAAAATGTTGCTAAAGTAATAAAGAATTTTCTGGAAAATTATGCAGAAGTCCATGGATTACCAAGTCCAGGAAGAAGTACCAATAGAATAACCTAATCAGTTATATTTTTACCAGCTGAAATGAGTTATAAGCCAATGCACAGGGATTTCTGGCTGGTCTAGAAGAAGATAGTAATTTGAAGTCCTTAAAGTATGATGCATTCAGAAAGTTATGGCATCAATTGACACCAGAAATTCAAATTATGAGCCAAGGGCTGACTTATGTGATACTTGACAACATTTTAGAGATGATTTACATTATAATGCTCACCAAGAAGAAGAAGCTAAAGAATTACTCAAAAGATTTAAAGAACATCTGTCTACTAAATTAGCAGAAGAACAAAGAAAATTAGTTAATCAATATTATTCAAAGGGTAAAACACTGTATTGCAGTATCAATGCTACTGCACATTATAGTTATGATTGTACCAAAATGTTCATGTACATTTATTAAGCAAAAATCCTATTGATAGTAATAAGAAAATTCAAAGACCATAATTTAAATCCATGACAAGTTGTGAATATCTGGATTATTGAGCAGTTCAAATATTGTTAACATGTGTCTTGGATAAGATGAAATCATTATGAGTTCCTTATCCACAAAGTAGCCAATATCAATTTTCAAGTCATTCTGCAAGGAAACACATCCATATTCCATACACTGATGTGGTTACACTATTGGATCCGTGGTGTTGATTGCCCAGTATAGAGTCAAAGCACCTGTGATGCCTTACTCGCAGAAAAGTTTGTGTTTTTTTGTGGCCATAGTAATCCTGACTTGTTTGAATATATAACGTATTTTTTATATGTATTACAATTGACTTTGAAATTGAATTACAGAAGGTTGGTGGTAGGTAAGAGACTTGAGAAATGAATGAATGGTCAACTATCAAATATATATACAAATTTTTCTTATATAATACAATAATATAAAAATTCCACCAAAGAAAAATTAAATAAATACAATATATTTATAAATGTATTTTTAATATGAATGTTATGTTTATAGAATGATGATAAAATATTTTCAAAAAATTTAAAGGAATAAATAATAAATTTGATTTTTTAAAAATAATAAATAATTATCAAAGAAAATCTTTGCTCTTATTAATCTATGTATATTTATATGTTTCATTTTTAAATTATTTTGTAAAATTGGTTTTATTTTATCAATTGATTTTCATCATTATTATATTAATAAAATTGAATCAGGTCTAACGAAAATTCCATGAGAATTTACTGCTACAAAGTATTTTATATTTGCCACAGTTCCATTATTTTTGCCAACTAAAAAAAAAAAATAAAAAACAATCAATTTAATTTATCCAAAAATTATCAAAGTAATCTTTATCCTTATCATTATTATTTATTATAACTTACCAGGATTATCTAATTCTATTCCAACCCAGATACCTTTAGCAAATTCAGTTTCACCTAAAAATTGTATGGTACCAGGCGAATTGTTTTTGGTTGGAAGTATGATACGTCTACCAACTGAAATATCAGGATTAGAAATTGTAGCTAATTTAGTCTGATGTGGTTTGGGTTGCATACTGGTTATTTTACCATTTGATACTGATGTGATGGAGGTTGTACGTGAGGCCTGTGATGATGGAGATTTTTTTCTACGATGATGTACTGAAGTTGTGGTAAAATCACTTTTTGCCGATGATACTGATGTAATGGAACTGGCTCTTGATGATGGTGATGATGATATTTCACGATTTTTATCACGACCACGCCTCTGTTCTGTCTCATCATATTTCATTTGACGCAACATACTAGATCTTGTCTGTTTTATTCCATTACTGTAACCATTTTTATTAAATCTTGATGGTGATACTGGTGGTGAAGTGATAGAAGAAATTGATGATGCACGTGACGATGTAGTTGATGATGGTTGTTTATTTGGGGCGCGACCCCTTGTTGATGCTGCTTTATCTGAATTAGATTTAGTCATTTTAATAGGAGAAGAAGTGGTGGAACTATTTGCAGATTTAGATATTATTATTGGGGATGATTTTGAAGTGGACTTTGATGATGATGCAATTGTTGGAGCGGATGTAGATGTAGATGTAGATGAAAAAGGTGTAGCAGCCTTTTGCTTAGATGCTATTTTAGGTCTAGGTTTTACGGGGTTTTTGGCCTCTTCTAAGGCTTTTTGTCTTAAAACACTTGCACGAGTTGGGCGTGCAAAAGATGATGATGGTGTGCTGGGAGTAGTTGTTCCAGCAATTCTAACGCTTTTAACTTTCTTTGTTAAAGAAGTTGTAGTAGATGATGTACCATTTGTATCTTTCTTTGCTGGAGAAGTTGTAGTAGATGATGTACCATTTGTATCTTTCTTTGCTGGAGAAGTTGTAGTAGATGATGAAGATGATGCACCATTTATATTATTATTAGTTTTCTTGTTTGTTGATGAATTTCCATTACTGTTGCCATTTGTAGCGGCATTTTTTGCTTTTGTAGAAATACCATTTGTTACACTTGGTGCACGTGCTTTTGCTTTTTGATCTTGTAAATGACGGTTTTGCTTTTGTTGTGATAATAGAGATAATTGAGATTCATTTATTGGTTCTTGTAGTTCTTGATTAGTGACATTAAGTTCTTTGGAGAATTCATCCAACAACCAAGGACTCAACAATCTGAAACCCCCATATTGTTTCACACCTAGCCAATGTTTCTTGATATAATCAAACACATGCTGTTTTGCTTGTACTAATATTCTTTTTGTCTCGATACTCTCAGCATTAATAACGGCTGGTCTAGTTAATAGTTTAGTTGTTATACATTTAATAATTCTAGCTGAATTTTGTTCTGTCAAGCCTTCTTGTAAAACAATTTTCATAATATCTTCCAGTAAATCGGAACTAAATCCAACACCGTCAACACAATCTAAGAATTCTTGGTCTTCATTACAAAGTTGATCAAAATTATCTACTAATATTTTTGTTGTAAAAGATTTAACTTGGTTGGTCATGTTACGTATTGTCTCTATCCATGGTAAACCTATTCCTTTGATATCAATTGTTGATATAACCTTTCTACAACCTTTAAATATTGATATGATGTTATTATTTTGTATGCTAGATAAAAGTGTTAAACAAACTTCTTCTCTTGTCTCCTCATCCAAGTCAGCAAATGTTTTTTGAGGCCACATATTATCAAAACCTTTTGTCAAGACATGCATACAACCTTTCCATAATTTTTTCACATCATGTTCTTTAGCAAATATGGCAATTGAAGGTATAACAACTTGACATTCAGCACAAGTGCATGTAAAATAATGTGCTTTTGTTGAAATTTTATGAACACAATCATCACATAAACCTTTTATGCCCAAAAAATCAGCACCTATCCAAACCCACTCACAAGTTTCTAAAGTCAATGGTTTTGAGTGAGAAGTTAAATTACCAGTATAAATATAAGTGAGTATTAGATTTAAGGATGTATTATTAAATATTGATGCGTCTAGACGTATGCTGGCAGTTTTAGAATCCTTGAAATTTGAACTTAACATCGCCTTAAAATAATCAGATCTTGAGGCTAGCATGAATCTGTGAGCTTTGAAGGTGACTGGTGTTAATTTTTGATTGTCATCATCATCATCATCTTCTTCTTCAACTACAATGTCTAAATCATCATTGTCAGAATGATCTAAAATTAGTTCAACATCGGTATATAACTTTGATTTAAACATGTATAATAAATCCTCTTTTAATTTATCTTGCTCCAGTTCATCAGTTGTATCCACAGCTGCCAAAAATTCCTCGCTACCTTCTTCACCAGTATAAAAAAATTTCAATTCTTGCCTAAACATTATTGGATCTTCATCAGCTTTAACAATCAAAGGTTCTGGATTTGACAATCTGACTGATCTTATAGACATTCCATTTGTATCTTTATTTTTAAGAAAACGTTCTTGGAATGAACGTGAACTTCTTGAATACAAAATTGCTATTCAATTATAAATAATTAAACAAATGGTTTTTCCTAGTTAGCTAATTGTGTTTAAATTCTTGAATGTATTTTTTTAAAAAATAAATTAATGACAAATACCTTTATGTGCATAAATGGTTGTTGGTTTAAGTGCTGAAACAAAGTCCCAAGCTATATCAGCATACAAACTACTAGCATTATCAAGTGTAAATCTTAATTCTTCAATCAAATTATCTTTAGGTGGAGTAACATAATCTATATCTGTTGGTGGTGGTAAAGTATTTTTCTTTCTTTCTGAAGGCATTTAATTTTAAAATATATTAATTAATTAATAGTGTTGAAATATTTATGATATTAATTGCAGAGAGTGAGAAAAATTAAAAAACGAAAGAAGAAATTTACAATTTAATATATTTAATATTAAATTATTATGAATAAATAGATTTAATTAATTTAATTTATACATGTATATAATACTTCATTATTATTTATATTTATATAGAAATATTTATATATAGAAAAAAGAACTTTTTCAAAGAAAAAGGACTTTATAAGTTGCTCATTTCCTTTTTTGTGAGCTCAATATTTCATTTCATTATTTTGTGGGGATCCAATATCGGAATATGTCACAATAACAACGTAAATATTTGGAAGGGGTGTGACGTGTAATTTCTTTTTTAATATTAGTAATCGATCCTTTGTTGGTGAATCAGATTTAAAACACATTTTAAGATGAAACAGTTTCATACAATGGATTTATTAAAGGAATGTTCTTTTCTTAATAAGTTATAATAGGTAAAAAATAGGAGGATCATGTAAATGAATTATCATACACGTGTACAAGTAAGTATCACTGCATAGTTGTACAAAAAAATTAGGTTTACCTGCAGGGACGATGATTTTTCATAAGTGTGCTATGGTGCAAGTCACCTACTCCACAACTTCCTGCGCCACACTGCTAATTTTGAGAAAGTTTCCCAATAAAAATTGTTTGGTCATGTGATATTTTCCGGTCATTTCATAAATGGGGCATGCTGCAACAAAACCAGACAAAGTGAACATTTGACATCATTCAGGCATCAGGCTTAAGATTCTATCTTTGTCAACCTTTTAATCATTCAATATCATAATACAAGATAATCGCAGTAATCAAGCCAAAATAACCTACAATTCACTTTTTATTTTTTTTATCTCACACTCTCTGCTACTTTAATTATTGAAATTTTTTTTGTTTTTTTTTTTGAAATAATAATAATAAAAATCCACTTCTCATTAAAACTCATTCACCCACTAATATAGGTTCTTTTTCCAACTGACCCTTGTCACCCAATCGCCATACCAAGATCTTGCGTGAGCCGATGACAATTACCAGATAGCTGATAACCTTGCGTCTTTTGCGGAGTTGAATGATTTCCTGGCTTGTCCAGTATTGGTTGAGTTGATAAGCGGGCCCACCACATTGCAAGATCCATTCTCTGATTGTTTTCCCACTGCGTCCAAACTTATCATAACTGGCAAATTTAAGGTTAAGTATAGTGTTCAGATCTGAGATGATGTTCAGAGCTTCTGCCTTTCTAACATTGACCGATCTGTATGGTGATAACAATGACTTCGCCACCGGTTCAATGTTGATGAAATTAATTCTAACGAATTTCCACTCTAATATGATCGTAATTGTTGTTGCTGGTACATCGATCACCAAGTCAACGTGTCCTGGAGATTTAGAAGGTTTGGTGACCTCGAACTCAATTTTTGTTTGCAGCAGCCACGGATTCTTGAGAAGTATATAGTAGAAACTATCTCGATCACAGGTTAAAAAAACGAAAAATCGGTAATACTCCCGATTTTTATCAAATTGATCAAACGTAACCAATAAATCATAGATTCTTACCATTTTTAGAATTGATAAAAATCGGGTTTTCTGAATTGCTACTATTT